AGGATGACAGGTTTGCAAACAGGGTTTCCTGCTACTTCTAGTTGCTTTTCACTCTTTGATGGCAATCCCACGGCAAAACTCAGCAGCAGATGTATTTCTGTACGTGATACAGGCGGTGTGGAAGTGAGGCTTCCTGAAGATCTTCACCTCTCACTGAAGAGAACTCATGCAATGAGCTTAGTCTGTGCTCTTTGGCATGTCAAAAGAAGGAAAACTTTATTATGGGTAATTCTGTAAAGAGTCATGTAAGAGAAGACAAAAATTTTAACCGCAGATGAATATACAGAGCATTTTTAGCTCCAGAAATCATCAGCCTAGGTTCTGTATGAGGAGGTATGAAATAGTCATTTAAAGCCTTGAAGAATGGCATGATGATGTTTAATTAAATGAACTTCTCAAGCACAACAGGGAAAAAAAAGCTTGTGCCACTGCTGCAGTCAAGCTAATGAGTAAACCCTGGGACATGATATTGGCATCACTGAGACTGTGTGTTGTTCAGTATTTTTGCCAGCATAAAAAAATGTGGTTTAGACAATGAGGAACCGTATGTGACTTTTTACACTGAATTCCTTTTTGTCCAAGACGTATTAAGTAGCAGATGAGCTCTCTTCCATTTTAGTCTTCTACAGTAGAGATTGTGTAAATCTTAGCCAGCATAAACCACAGCTTTTCAGGTTGTGAACCATTTATCAAAACATTTTTTCAAAATGGTATAAAATTGGTGATTAGCTTGGTTTGTGTTCTTGTTTTTTCTCTACTCTACTTTTCGTATCCCTAATGGAGAAATTGGGGTTCTAAATTTATTCTGCCTGCTGTTACCTGCATGTCACATTGAGGCAGAGAGCTCAGGTGCTGAAGTTCGTGTGTCTTTTTGTGGCCTTGGACTTGCTATCATGGAAGGTCTGTCTGCCACTCAGGCTAGGTAGATTTAGTGGTGGGCAACAGCACAGGGCTGAAGAAGTAGAGGTGTTTTATTGTTGCTGCAGTCTGGGCTGACAAGCAAGGCTCTGTCATGAGCTGTGGACTTCAGTTCTTGAATATGCTTTGCATTTTAAGGGTCTCTGTGTGGACTGTTAAAATTTCTGTTTGTTCTTCTACTGCCTGTCTTAGCAGAAAAGGATAAAAGCTTCCTGATTGGATTTCGGGCTCAGATCTTCCTATGAAGTCCAGCTGAGCAGATGGCAGATCACTTCCTTTTATCCTTTTTCTCAGGGCTCTGCAGCCATTTAAGACCCCATGTGAGGGTCCTGGTAGATCCTGCAAGGAGAGGGGAGTGAAGCTTGGTCAGTACCAGATTAGCAAACACAGTAAGATGGTATCAAATGTGTACAGCATTCAGAATGGGAAGTACAGTTTGAACAGACAAGGAATTCCTGCTATTCCTGTCAAGATTACAGTAGAGAAATGCTCAAACAGGATCTCCATAAGGAATGAAGGGATAGTCAGGGCAAGCTATTCTTGCTTACTGCCAGGGAGAGAGCATGGTTTTGCTGAAGGTAAAAGCAAGGAAGCAGGGACCTCTCCAGTGAAGAGCATGGTCCCACAGCACCTGAGCAAGGAGGGCAGAGCAGATCTGATGGCCAGGGTGAGTCGAGTCCTGTACTCTTCCGTGAAGTCTCTGTGATGGGGAGGAATGGAAGTCAAGCCAGGAAGCAGCTCAGCAGGTCAGTACCCCTGGATGCAGTTAGGTGCAGACATGCCTTGAACATAGCTCAGGCATGAGGGCTTGAGCAGCTCCCAAGCAAAGTGGAGAGGCTCTCCCAGCTCTTTCTCACCCAGCTTTTTCCTGGCTACCTTTTCCCAGGTTCCAGCTGTGCTGTATGGGAGCTGGCTTGAGCACAGCCAGCCAGACCCTGCTGGAGGAAGGAGGCTTCAGATCCCAATGGTGCACTTGGGACCCCTCTGTGTGCTCAGGAAGTTAGCCATGTGCTTGGACATAGCTCTTGCCCAAAACAAACTACAAAAGGCTCAGGAAGGTTTTGGAAGATTCCAGTAATGATCTCATCTGTCAGGGTATGGACATCCTCATTCTTGGTAAAACTGAGTTTTCTGAGCTTGGTCAGTGAAAATCAGACTGAACAAGGTAAATGGGGACAAACACACCAGATCCTCTCTGTTCTCCTTTTGTGTAACATAAGTTAGTCAGGTTTACCTACTTGTTTGCATAACTCAACTTCATGGAGAACATACCAAAACCTTGCTGGCTGACAAGAAGATCAATCAGTGGTATTTTTACTAAAAATCAGACTTTTAACTAATTAATCCTAGAGTACTGATTGCCACAAAAAAAAGCATTTCCATTTACGTAGTTGATGGTGTTGTGGTGATGACTTCTGTTGCCAAAGGCTGCCAAATCAAAGGTCTTTGTTCTAGCAGTTCTGTAATGAGTGTAGGAAACATTTCTTTTGTGCATGTGTTAAATTCAAGGCAAGGCATTGACAGAAATCACTGCTGGTTTGGTTTGTTGTCTCTATTTGCTAGAGACAATTTTCCTGAGATGTGTGTTATTAGGTGTTCTTTTGAACTTTGGAAGAAGCTGCTATGGGGATGGATGTCTCGTAGGTGCCTGTGTTAATGAATGAAATTTTGGGATAGGGGAATAAAATGGAGGCAGAGCAGCCTGTTTATTTAGCTGACTTAGTGCTGCAGAATGCCTGTGTTCCCATTTGTACTTCTCAGCAGTGTGCTACAAAAACTGATCCTTTGTCAGCCCTTTCTTAATCCCATTGTATTTGCTGATTTCCCCAGCCCTGCATTTTGATGGAAGCTAATCCCAGAATATCTGCATAGCTGGGTGTGAATCTTTTATCCTTGCATTCACGTTTCCTCTCGGATCCTCAGCCCTCCTTAATCACCCTGAGTCTTCAGGAGCAGCTCTAAGCTTTGTGTGTGGGGGGAAGCAGCTAGCCTGCCATGTGAGAATCAAGTGCTGCCTTCTGTCTTTCACACCTCTAAGCTACTGACTCATCATTTCATTCTCTATGCATACATATGCATAATGCACACATAATGCAGTTGAATTATTATCCTCGTGGAGACACATGCCATCAGACAGTGTCCTTTGAATTCACAGTTCTGTGCCCGTGTGTAGCAACAACCCACCGTGCTTAACATCAAGCATCTGGGTTGATCCAGTGTGGAAATTCCTAAGCCCATTGATCACTAGCTTCTGCATTACCCAGAGATAAGTTATGGATGAATCAGGAGTTCTAATTTGATTCTTACTCTTTTTTTCCCATCCATTCAATTTTCTTTAATCATTAACCAGCACTTTCTTTCCTGGAGGAAGGAAAGGAGGCTGGATACAATGCAGGCATGCAGATAAATGCTGGTGGGAACAATGCAGGAATGACTCCAGTTCTTGCTAACCAGACTCCTTTTCAGTTTGTTAAAGAAGTGTTTAACAGCCTCATTTGGGCAGAAAAGTCCTGTTCTGTCCTGGCTAGGAAGACTAGGACTAGTGCCTAAATCTGGCATAAGCTGATGCATCCCATTCCTCTTCGTCAGCAGAGTGTCTTGGATGGTGGGATTGGCAAGGTTCTCTGTATTCCTTATGGCAGCATAGCTTTAAGCTAATCTTTCTATACTCAGAACCTGTGCCAGTCTAAAAAGCTCCTTGAGATCTGCTTTTGGGCTGGTTTTGGTGGAAGGTGCACTTGAAGAGAGCCTGCAGGTGTAACAGGGGTTCTGTTTCCAAAAGGAGGGCCTGGCCTGGATGTGCTCCATCTCTTGTGGTCTGTACTAATGTGAAATGGGTTTTTATTTGAAGAATGTTTGATCTGTACTTAGATGGTTTGACTGTCAGCCTGGTCAAGATGAACTGTCCAAAATCCTAGTAGCATGTGTCTTAAAGGAGCTTTTATTTTCTCCTTGTTTGTTGCTTTCTTTTTTCTCCCAGGGTTTGGTTTAGAACCCCCAATGCACAATAAAATCCACTTGGCTTGCTTTGCAAGAGTTAGACTCCACAGGGAAATGTTTGTCACCACCTTTCTCCATCTCTTGGTAGAGGGATTAAATCACTTACCCTTTGGTCTTGGCTGCTAAGGACTATGAAATTAAGCCAATTAGTTAAATTAATCTTTAGCCAAGGTTTCTTGGACTTTTTTTAGGGGTACCATTAAATTTGGTTTATATGTACTGCTGTGAGGAGAGCTTAGCTGCATTGTTTGTGAGGAACTTGGCAGAGCTTTGAAAATGGTTGTCAAACCCCACAAGGTGAATTTGGGTTGTGAGGGACAGGAGTGGGTGGAGGAGAGCGAGAGGCAGTGTAACAGCAGAAGGATTTGTCAGAGGTGTCAGTAAAGGAGAAGAGTGATGCATGTAAAAAAGATGGAGTAGGGATAAAAACCCAAAGCATTTAAGGTGCAGAGACTGAGCAGGAGCAAGCAGCAAAACCCAGAGGGGAGGCCCAGCTGGATCTGTGTAACTAAGATATGAGGAAGAGGTAATGGTCTGAAACATCTGAATATGATGATCAAGGAGAGGGTGTGGAGGGAATGGGAAAACAGGCTAAGATGCAAGTGAATAATTGGAACTGCTGCAAAGAGACTGGTTTCCCCATGGTTAGAAAGTGCATTTGACATAATAATGAGAGGAAAAGATGTGAGTTACTTGTTTTTTAATTCTTTCAAGCCTACTGCAAATTTTATTGAGCAATGGCAAAGCCAAGCTTGATTTCTTTTTAACTCTCAGTATGAACAAAGTGAGGCAGTGGCAGCTCACAAATGTCAGTGCACCAGAGAAGCTGGAAATGGACAGCATGTAGATCTCCATCAGCCATAAAACATCACTGTTCTGAGATCTTGCTCAATGTGCTTTAATTGCTCTAAGTGAGGGGTTTGCTTCGATGTGTGAAGAGGCAACAGTTTCCTGATTTTCTTTAATTTCTTAGTAATTGATATTTCACTGGTGCTGGTGCATCTTTTTAAATAATTATGTATGATTTGTGGCAGAAATTCACCTATGCTTGGAACATGCTAAATGGCATTTCGGTTATGTGTGTGCTGATCTGCTTATTTAGCTGATCTGATTGCTCAAAATAAAGTTGGGGTTAATTCTTGTTTAGCACCAGTTTCAGTCATAACTGGATAGTGAAGCCTGGGGTGTAGGCAGACTGTTCAGAGTGAGGTAAGAGATGTGTCATCTTGGTTCATCCCTGGAGAACTGCAGAAGGGCTCGAGGCAATGCTGCCTTCCCTTTCTCTGGAGTTACAGCACACATGGTGCAAAGTGTTAGCATTGCCCTGCTGCTGAGCAGAAGGATATTTAGTTGGACTCTATGACCCTTGTGGGTCCCTTCCAGTTCAGAGTATTCTGTGGTACTGCACTTAAGCTGTGGCAGAGCTGACGTCTCTTCAGGGAGGTGAGGGATAAAGGAAAGGGACCTGAACTTCTGTCAAGAAAGACAACAGTTAGCTAGAATGTTGCGTGTGGAACTGGGAAGATGGTATGTTTTTTCTCTCCGTTCCAGTAACTCGATTTATTCTTCAAGAAGTGTTTGGACAATGCTCTCTGGCGCATGGTATGATTGTCAGGGATGTCCTGTGGAGGGCCAAGAGTTGGACTTCATGATCCTTGTGGGTCCCTTCCAGCTCCAAATATTCTCTGATTCTGTGATGTATTCTTAAGTCATTCTTCACCTCTGAAGTTACCATCCTGACTTGAATTTCTTCCCTTTTTTTTGGTAGGTTGATAGTGGTGACACTTGGATTGCTTTGACTCTTTCCTATTTGGTTTGATAATCCCATTTGCCTTCTGCAGTCCTTAATCTGCCATTATTGGGAAAGGTTAACCTTCTTTTGAAGCGTGTCAGGGAAGGTGGATTGAGTCAGGAGCCTTCATAATTCAAAAATAACTGGAGAGGTGATGATTAAGTGTGGGTATTCTGTGAACCTGAAAGATACTTACAGTAGTCTGCAGGCCATCTTAAGTTACTGAAGTCTGTGTGACAGTTTAGTGTGCTCAGATATTGCAGTGATGAGTGACCCAAGTGAAAACGTAGGTAGAAGAACAGAGAAGTTTGCTTAAATTGTGCAGCTGGGATTCTTTGCAGTGGAAATCCATCTCCAGCTCTGTCAAAGAAAACTCAAGTGACAGCAGGCAAGTCACCTAATCTCTTCTTTGAGTCACTTGCTGTGAAATGGGGGTAATACTTCTCCACCACGCCAGGCTGCCATGAGGTTCGGTTAATAAATATGTATGTGTAGCTGGATATTACAGCAGTGTGTCACAGAAAGCCTATAAAAATAGGTATAAATAGAAGCTCATTGCAAGTTGGCATTTGTTTACTCCTAAGTAAGCTTTGGTTTGAGGTGAATTCCTCTTTCATGTGGTCACGTGCCTGTTCTCACGTTCCGGCACGGACTTACGGCACTGCCGGTTTTGCGCTCGTAACCGGCACGAGCCGTGGAGCTCCGGCTGACCCCGAGTGGTGGATTCCTTGACCATGGTCCTGTATTACTATTTCCTCCGCTACAGGTGTACCAGTACTCGACCAGGAGAGACCGGAATGGACGTGACCAGCCGCTGCACACTTGGAGATCCCAACAAGCTGCCCGAAGGGGTGCCGCAGCCTGCTCGCATGCCCTACATCTCCGACAAGCACCCTCGGCAAACTCTGGAAGTCATCAATCTCCTCCGGAAGCACCGGGAGCTGTGCGATGTGGTGCTGGTAGTCGGCGCGAAGAAGATCTACGCCCACAGGGTGATTCTGTCAGCCTGCAGCCCGTACTTCCGAGCCATGTTCACCGGGGAGCTGGCCGAGTCTCGGCAGACGGAAGTAGTGATCAGAGACATCGATGAAAGGGCCATGGAACTGCTGATCGACTTTGCCTACACCTCCCAGATCACGGTAGAAGAGGGAAATGTCCAGACCTTGTTGCCAGCTGCTTGCCTTCTCCAGCTGGCTGAGATCCAGGAGGCCTGCTGCGAATTCCTTAAGAGACAGTTGGACCCTTCCAATTGCCTGGGCATCCGAGCTTTTGCTGACACTCACTCGTGCCGTGAGCTGCTGAGGATTGCTGACAAGTTCACACAGCATAACTTCCAGGAGGTAAGAAGCTAGTGTTCTGGACTTGTGATGCAGAATGTGTCAATGTGTCCTGTGAGGGCTTTGAGCCACTCTCACTTGGTGCTTCTTTCCAAATCCTGCCTTTACATCTGCTCTGTGCCCCTATAGTGATGGGTGCCAGATGTTAGGTGAGGAAGAAAGAGGGAAGAGGTGCTGATTGGGCTGTGTTGTACTGGTGGTTTTTATATGATCCACAGCATTTCTTCTCTGAAAGTTGTGTGGGGAGTGCTATGTGGAAGGCAAGGTCACAGGTGTAGTTGTATTTGGCATTGAATCTGACACGGTATGACCTAGCACTCCTCTTTCAGAAATGTTCTGAATTCTACATGATTGCAGGGGAGGCAGGTGTTAAAGTGAGGGCAACACATCAATAGAAGCAAAAAAATTGGTGTTGAGCTTTTGGATTGAAAAAATAGGCGTATGGGGGAGCATACAGCTGCCTCAGTGGACTCTTCAACTCCCTTGCTGTAGCAGAACTAGGGTTTTGCATCTATTATTCAGCAGAAGTTTGAAAGGAATTCAAATGTGTAATATTGTAGCTGACCTTTATAAGCTCAAGTCTCTCATTCTTTGTTAATTCTGCCTAGATGATTTTTTGGGAAAAAAAATGCCAGCAGCTGGTTCAGGGAAGGATCAGCATAATAATTAAGGATTCTGTGAGCAGTAGGCAGAGAAGAGTGGGTCTTTACTGAACTGTCACATCAAAATGCATAAAGGAGCCTAACTCTTTAAAGTAATATCTTTCCTGAGCCCTGGTTGGAAGGGCAAGAATTTGTGTGTGTTTTGGAAGCAGCTACTCTGTAGGAACATGCTCAGCATGCAGGTCTGGTCCCTTGCTAGAGAGATTCATCTCTTGCCACTTCCAGAAACTGCACTCTGCCACCCCTTGGGACAGGTAGCCTGCTGCAGAGAAATCTCTTCCCACCTGCTTCACAGGTAGATCCTTTCCAAAGGGAGTAACTCCAGTATCGATTCCTGATGCTAAATTAGTTTCCCCAGAGAAGCAGCAGTATACAAGGTGCTGTGAGTGATTGCAGCTTGCCATCTTTTTTCCTTTGACATGCAGGAGGCAGGTTGGAATTGTATTAATGTCAGTCAGGTAGTACTTAAAAATCTGAGCAGAAGCAAACAAAACAGAACGTGACTGCTGGACACAATGAAGACAATACTTCGTGTCTAATCGTAGGCACGACATCAGTTTATTCTAGAAGTTGCAATTAAATGCATGTTTTCTAACCAGATAGAATTTGCTGTTTAAGATGAGTTTGGTTTTTGCAGGCCTTGGTGATTTCCCAAACCTCTACATTTTAGCTGGCCATTTCACATTCTCTGTGCTTGCTCTGCACTTCTTTTCTTCTGCATTTGTTTTTAGGGAACAAGATGGTAACCAGATGGTCGTTTGTTTTCAGTGCTTGGTGGTTTTAATGGTTAGATCTTGTTATTACATGAGCAGACCATGCTTACAAGCCTCTAAATAACTTTATAACAGCTTTACAGTTCTGTTTGAAAATGTTTTAGCACTAATACATGCAGCTGGCTGTTCAGAGCTGCTTGCTATGGTCTCCTCTTTTGCAGTCCCATTCTGTCTTCCTTATCCCCGTTAAAGCACACAAAGGCAAAGGTTTTGGACTCATTAAAACACTCTTCCTCAGAGGTGATGTAAATTATAATTGACTTAGCTGAATCACAGCCTCTGGAAAACAATTTCTTAGATTAGAGCACTATTTCTTTGGCCTGGGCAGGTTTTGATGTCCCTTTCGGTGCCTCAGGAGTTTTGCAGCTCTTCAACCTTAATGATCACTTCTTCTGCTCCCAATGTTTCTGTTCCAGGGATGGAGGATTCTTAGATAACGGAACAGAGACACACTCAGGTAGTAAATTCAAAGTGATTTATTCCACCTGCATGTCTGTGTGCCCTTACAAAAAGGATATAAAGTCTACTACATTAAAAAGGGAAAAGTTAGGTCCCTAGCAATTAAGAGTACACACCGACCCCAAGAGTGATGAGATGAGTGGGCCAGTGCAGAGTCACATTCTGGGGGTGCAGACACAGGAGCTCAGCAGGAGTTCACACAGAGTCGACGTGGTCCTTGAGTTCTGGAGAGCCCCCTGAAGGTGTGTGTGGCCTCATAGATCAGAATTTTGCTGTGCCATCCTGATGTGACCAATACACAACAGGATGAGGTGGGTCTGAATTTCTGGGGCACCAACATGCCTGTGGTCACATAGGTTTTGTGGGTGGTCATCAGTCTCCTCTGGGGGTCGTTACTTCCTCTCCTTTCCTCATCATCACCTCTAAGTGTCCTTGGGGCTGTTTGGCAGTCAGTCAAGGCTCATTAACCTTTTGTTCTCCTTAGCTGAAGTTTTCTCACTGCTTACTCCTTCAGTCCCACAGGCCAACTGCACCTGCTTACTCCCTTCTCACTCCATTCCCACGGGAGAGCTGCAACTGCTAATTTTATATTCAGTTTGACATGGCCTGTTGCAGACCATCTCCATTTACAAGTGTCTTTGGACACAATTTCTCTGCAGACAATGTTAGTGGTGCTGCTTGTTGGGATTTTACTCTGCCAGTGTTCTCCATCTGGAGAGCAGATTGGTAATCCCTGGTGGAAGCGACGGACTTGGCTACGTAATCATCCTCCATTGTGGAGGCTGAGAACTGACTGAGAAATGTGCCTTCCTCTGCAGAGGCTGTGTGGTCATCGTTCCCCCAAGCTGACAGAACGAAACGTGAGATGGGAATTTCCTGGATGGCAATGTGAAATATTAAGCACCTAGGCATCAGGCCAACCCATGCAGTTACTTTGAATGCAGTTTGAATTGCTTCATGTCCTCTGCTGTGCTAACCTCTAGTTCTATTAATTTTTATGTGTATTGCTGCATTACATCATTAACTTCTTGGTAAAATGTTTTTCCATTGCCCCCAATTTAATTTGTTGCCTAAAAGCCCTAGTGAATCTTGTGCATGTGATGTGAAATGGGTCTATTAACAACTCTGCTGTACAAGAAAACCCTTTTTTTGGTTGGTCTCTTGACATCTGTGTGAAGGGGAAAATATACTTAAGGATGAACAACTTGTGCTTTTATCGACAGACAAAAAATTGCAGTTCATATTGTGTAGTCTGACATTTATTCTATCTGTTTGTAAAAGCAGTGATGTACATGAATACCTCAGAGGAAATGAAACCCATCCAATTCTTGTTCAGTAAGCAAGTCAGTCAAATAGACCATTAATATTAGTCAGGTAATTATGAGTGTCTTGATAATTAAGCCAAAATAAGCCAAAGCATTTAAAATAATTATTTGCTTTACTATGTAAACGAACAAGTTGCATAGTGGTAATAATTTGGTTTGCAGAAATGCTTCTAGTGCACTGAAGTTTGAGAGGCCAACAATGCGACTGGGGGTTTTGAGGGTGGAAGGGAGAGACTGGATGACCATCCTTAACTCATAGGTTTCTAGAGCTGCTGTTCTCAGAGTCTGAGGCTGCTTTTACAAACTGGCAGGGAACAGTGTAGCTCTAACTGGTCTTTGTAGGAGGCAGGGAGGCTATGGAAAAAAGCTGATAAGGATCTTTATTGACCAACCTAGTTCTTAGTCTAAAGCTGAGGCAGTGTGTGGGCCAACCTTGTCATGGCCCTTACTGCCCCTGATAGCCCATGGGATCTAAGACCCAAGTCTGGTAACTGTTCTTGTTGTCTTCTGTGTTCTTTTTCAACGATATTTTCTGTTGTCTGTAACTTGGCAGGTCTTGCCTATTTGTTCAGTGCTCTAAAGTGATTTCTTTAGGTAATTAGAAGGACTGCACAGCTGACTGCTGGTGAGATGATCGTGTCAGAGAATGTTTTTCTGTAATTTATGCAGCAAATCAGAAAATAAGTCACGGAATTTTAGTGTGGTCTCAAATGATAAGGACAAACCAATATTCAGTTATTTTCTGTCACTGAATCTCTCAGAGATTGCAAGTTACAGACTGGGAATGCTTTTAGGGAAGCCAGGCTGGCAGTTATCAATCCAACCATTTCTGCATTGTTTATTTTGACTTTTGCATCTTTCCCATGGACGTGGTGCCTGTGCAGGAGCAGTGGTTGTGTGTGAGCTCTCAGGGCAGTGTGACAGACTCACGTGTGCTCAGTGCTGTGCTGTGTGAGCAGTCCTCCAGCGGCAGCCAAAGCCTCCTGAGAAACTTGGTTGCTATCTTGGATGCTGAAGGAATTAATGTGTTTGCAGATTGTCAGTGGCTTGAATTTCACAAGAGATCAGTCCTTAGGGGCTTGGGAGGCTCCAATTCCCTCTTCAGTGCATCTCGACTTGTGCGTACTCCATGTATATATTTAGAGCAAATGAAAGAGGCAAGATCAAATGATTCCCTCGCCTGAAATATTCTCTGTTCTGCCACAAATCAGCATTCAGGCTTTCCATGTTCTCTGCAATGCCTCTGGTAACTTGTTTAAGACTTATTTTTGTGCTCTGCTTTGGTTTTCCTGTGAATCTCTCTACTCCAGTGCAGCTTTTCAGTCACGTATTTATCACGGTTTTATTTCTGCTCTCTGTATCAGACACAACAAACAGAATGATTTTAAAGAAGGGATTTATTTTTCCTAAATTTTGAAACCTGATCAGTGTGCTCTGTGGTTTAACCCTTTAAAAGTGTCCTACAAAAAAAACTTGATGTAAAATTCCCTTTCACTTGCATCCCCTTCTAAAAGTGTCTTTCTTGTGTTGGTAGTTCCTGACTGCAGTCTGCTCTGTGCAGAAACCCTTTGCTGTCAAAACTGATGGATATTTGGTGTTTTACTGGGTCAGCCCATGAAGTGCTGGAGTGGTGAATAGCTCTGGTGCTTTGGCCACTGTCCTGACTTTCTTCCTGTCTGCTCTGTGCAGAAACCCTTTGCTGTCAAAACTGATGGATATTTGGTGTTTTACTGGGTCAGCCCATGAAGTGCTGGAGTGGTGAATAGCTCTGGTGTTTTGGCCACTGTCCTGACTTCCTTCCTTTTTTTTTTGCTTTCCCTTTCCCAGGTAATGGAGAGTGAGGAGTTCATGCTGCTTCCTGCCAATCAGCTCATAGACATTATATCCAGTGACGAGTTAAATGTTCGCAGTGAAGAGCAGGTGTTCAATGCTGTGATGGCCTGGGTGAAATACAGCATTCAGGAAAGAAGACCCCAGCTGCCACAGGTAATCTTGAGCACAGTGACATTCCAGACTGCTTTATCCAGGGGAAGAGTAATGAGGGCTGATAGGGTGGTGCCACAGCAGTTCTGAGTGCACAGAGACACTGAAATTCTGACTCCCACCTGTGTTAGGTGGTGACTTGCACTCTCCCTTCATCTTGGCTCAAAGCTGCACTGGCTAGAGCCTTAAATAGGGACTTTGTTGAATTGTTTCCAGGTAGGACTTGCCAAACTAGCTCACTCCAGCAGTCTGTCCAGACAAACCTGCCTGCACTGCTTCGAGTGTCATATCAAAAACACCGTGGATAAGAAAAATCTTGTCTCAGTTTGCAGTGCATCCTTAAGCTTTGCTGTTTGATTTGTGCCTCAGCCCTCATGATGTTATACTGGAGCTTGTCAGAATGGTTTTGTTGGAATGTGATGCTTCATCTAAGCCAAGGCATTTCACAGAGCAGAACCCATTCTGACAAAGCTGTCAGCCCAAAGCCTCTGAAGTCTCAGGCTGGCTGATCAAAAGAGGTGAGCGTCTGCCTGCCTCAGTGTTTCTGCTTTGGAAATAGACATTAAATGCAACTTTATTTACTGGAAAGCTTTTGAAAATGGTTTTAAATAAACAAACCAAACCAGAAAAACCTGCTCTTCTCAAGGCAGATCTTAATCCTGTTATAACTGTTTGCCTCTGTCTATACCTGCTTGTTCATTTAAATTCTAAACCATTGTGAAAGGCATCTGATTTCTTCTTGTTCATTTACTCTGCAGTACCACTCACATTTTAGAGAGCTAAATGTTTGATAAAACTACCAACTAAATTAGTGTTCAGGTAGATGCATTGACATCTGTCATTCTTTTAAGGTTTCCAACCGTGACCTTGTTTTCAGCTGTTAATAGATCCAGTGGATTGTCCTCTTTCAAAGACTGATTTTCTGCTGGGCTTCTAAGTTGGTATATTGAAAAAGCAAAGGTGCTGTCAGATGAGCTGCATTTAACTAAAATGCCAAGGCTGGGATGTGTAAATGGCCATGTGCCAGTGGAATTATCAGGTCTTTTCAAAATTCATTAGCCACTGTGGAACAAGTCCATAGGAGGGCTATCAGGTTGGTTAGAGGGATGGAGCACCTCTCCTATGAGGAGAGGCTAACAGAATTGGGATTGTTCAGCCTGGAAAAGAGAAGGCTTTGGTGTGACCTAATCCCTGCCTGAAGGAAGCCTGCAAGAAAGATGGAGAGAAACTATTTACAAGGACGTGTAGTGACAGGATAAGGGGGAATGGCTCACACTGATAGAGGACAGGGTTAGATTAGATATTAGGAAGAATTTCTTCCCTGTGAGGGTGCTGAGGCACTGGAAGAGGTTCCCTAGAGAAGCTGTGAATGCCCCATTCCTGGAAGTGTTCCAGGCCAGGCTGGATGGAGCTCTGAATAACCTGACCTACTGGAAGATGTCCCTGCCCATGGCAGGAGGTTGGAACGAGATGTTCTTTAATGTCTCTTCCAACCCAGGCCATTCTATGATTCAGTTGTTTTCCATTTCATTTCTTGCATCTCTGTGGGTGTATGTGGTTCACCATTTATGCATTCTATGATTCAGTTGTTTTCCATTTGGTTTCTTGCATCTCTGTGGATGTATGTGGTTCACCATTTATATTCTGTTTTGTGTTTTAGGTCCTGCAGCATGTCCGTTTGCCACTGCTGAGTCCCAAGTTTCTTGTGGGTACAGTGGGTTCTTTCTGTTTTGTGTTTTAGGTCCTGCAGCATGTCCGTTTGCCACTGCTGAGTCCCAAGTTTCTTGTGGGTACAGTGGGTTCTGATCCTCTTATTAGATGAGGAATTAATGCCGGTAAATCTCCTCAGCCACTTACAGCCTTGGACTGTATTGTTCTCTGAAACTGTGCTCACTTGTCAGTGGTAAATGGGTGATACCTCACAATTTGTCTTTTGCAACTGGGAGGAGAAGAGATGCAAGAAAAAAAGTGTTTTCTAGTTCAGTAATAGTCAGTGTTGTACCCTAGAGGAGGTTTTACTCTTTCAAGTTATCAGTAAAAGAGCAAACTTTGAGTGTGCAGTTTGACTGTTGGTAAAAGACCTTTCAGTGTGTTGATTTCCATTTTGCCTTTTTTTTCCCCCCTCTAGTCATGGCCTTTCATTACAGCTTAGCTCTTCCATGGCTTTCTCAATAGGATTTAAAGTAGTTTTTCTATGTAAAATGACTGCACTTTGATAACTGAATTGGACTCTGGGATTAGAGTCTGCTCTTTCCCACAATGTTAATGCAAGGAATTTGTCATTTCCTCCTTTTGCAGTAGAAGTCTCATCTTTCTGGTTCTACAGAGTTCTGTATCATCTATACAGCACACAGTTTTTCATGTGCTTAATATAAAGGAGTTCAGGGGATAGGCTTAGCTGTTCTTTCCCTGAATAAACATTCATACCAGGGGAATTCCACCTTTGTAGAGGGAAGGAGGTCCTTTTTTTTTGTGGGGTTTTTTGTTTGTTGGTTTTTTTTGGTTTTTTTTTTTGATTCAAGGGTTTGAAATATTAGGATTAGTCCAAGTGGCAAATTATGAATGGATGGACAGTGTGAGCTGGCCAGAGCTGATGGAGACAAATATTCCTCCAAAGGGTACTATCTCCATCTGCTGGTTGTGTGTGTATCCTGTATTTGTGTGCTCTCCAGCTCCTGTTTTGTTCTGAGGCAAAACAGCTGGTTGTGAAGTTTTAGTTTAAGGCAGACTCGGGGTTTATTTCCTGCACAGAAAGCCTGACAAATCTCTTGTCATAGTTTATCAGTCTTTCTGTAGCAAGCAATACCTATTATTAACTCTGGCCAAATATTGGTACTGGTCTACTGCTGTCACTGTGTAAGTGGCTTGTAAACAAACAGTGAGCATTTAGGTGACAGTGTGTGTTTTAACTAGAGCTATTCATGCACTCATGTGATTTGGGAATACTTGAAGAGCCTGACTAGTGCAGGCTGCTCTTCCCATCCCTTCTGATTCGTACCTTCTCCTGAGACTAGTATCAGGGGAGCTTTGGGGATTCATATTTTCCTGTCTTGCACAGGGATCTAGTGGATGAAGCTAAAAACTATCTGCTGTTGCCCCAAGAGCGGCCACTGATGCAAGGACCAAGGACTCGACCACGCAAACCCATCCGCTGTGGAGAGGTGCTCTTTGCAGGTGTGTGTGGTGTCCAGAGGAGGCTGTGGAGATGGTGAAGGGCCTAGAGAGGAAGCTGTAGAGAAGGGGCTGAGTCACTTGGTCTGTTTAGCCTGGAGAAGAGGAGGCTGAGGGGAGACCTCATCACTGTCTACAACTTCCTCATGAGGGGAAGGGAAGGGACAGGCACTCATCTCTGCTTTCTGGTGTCCAATGACAGAGCCTGAGGGAATGGCATGAAGCTGTGTCAGGGGAGGTTTAGTCTGGATATTGGGAGAAGGTTCTTCCCCCAGAGGGTGGTTGAGCACTGGAACAGCAAGGGGAGGGGCTGAGTCACTTGGTCTGTTTAGCCTGGAGAAGAGGAGGCTGAGGGAAGACCTCATCACTGTCTACAACTTCCTCATGAGGGGAAGGGAAGGGACAGGCACTCATCTCTGCTTTCTGGTGTCCAATGACAGAGCCTGAGGGAATGGCATGAAGCTGTGTCAGGGGAGGTTTAGTCTGGATATTGGGAGAAGGTTCTTCCCCCAGAGGGTGGTTGAGCACTGGAACAGCTCCCCAGGGCAGTGATCACAGCCCCAAGCCTGACAGAGTTCTAGAAGCATTTGGACAATGCTCTCAAGCATGTGGTGTGATCCCTGGGGCTGTCCTGTTCAAGGCCAAGAGTTGGACATAGATCCTTGTGGGTGCCTTTCAATTCAGGATATTCTGTGAGTCTATGATTCTGTGTATTGCTCCTGCTTAGCCCAGGAGACTCCAGGCAGGATTTTTTGGTGGTGGTGTTTCCATAAGGTAAATCTTCACAACATATTTCTGAAGTCACCTGTGTATTAATATTGAGGTTTGACTTGCACTTTCTCACTTACATAGTTTCTTTGGTGCCATGAATGCCACAGTATTTCTAAACTTAATACTCTTGAAAATCACATTCTGTTTGCTAATTATAAACCTCAGGATGAGTGACTCAAGAGATGGGGCTACTAGGTTAAGGCATAGAGAGTCCAAAGGGGTTGTTTGTAGCAGGAGCACATGCAGGACATGAGCTGAGGGTGTTTTTTGACACTGTTGCTGTGTTTGGTTGCAGTGGGGGGCTGGTGTAGTGGGGATGCAATTTCCAGCGTGGAGCGCTACGACCCTCAGACCAACGAGTGGAGGATGGTGGCATCCATGAGCAAGAGGCGCTGTGGTGTTGGAGTCAGTGTTCTGGATGATCTCCTCTATGCTGTGGGAGGCCACGACGGTTCCTCTTACTTGAACAGTGTAGAAAGGTAGGTGTCCATAATGCCACTGTGCAGAATGTTAGCTCTGAGTGTTTAAACCCGGGTGCAGCCTCTTAAAAATGAGGTAATTTTCCTACCTCTGTTCTTGTCCTGCTGTAGACCCAAAATTTGTTATGTTATCTACATTTCCTTCTCCCTCACTCACCCCTGCAATGTTGTGTTGGTTCACTACTGAACTGGGACTTCATGCATAGCAAGCTGTGCATTGTTATCCCCAGCTTAGTGGGACAAGCCAAAGGCTTTGGTATAAGGAAGGAACTTCTAAGAGATGGGTCTGGGTATAATTGTTGGGAGTGATAATCCTGGTTAAGCTTCTTTACAATTGCTGGTTTGTTTTTAGCATTGTTGAGGAAGGTGAGGTTACAATAAAAATTTCTTAGCTGTTGAGAGAAAGATCCTGGAATTTTATTGTGGAGTGGCAACTAGAGAAATAAGGAACCTTGGCACTTAGACAGAGGAAGGAAAATAGGTCAGTTTTAGACCTGTGAAAGACTTATTCAAACAAGTTTTACCAAGCTTCCTGTTTCTGGGAGCTGCATATGGCAATTCCCATGCCTAAAAGCCACATGACTCAAGCACTCCTAGTGCTTTACATCTTGGCCCTGTAACAAATCCATTGAGCGATACAAATAATTTTCCTTCCTCCTCAAGCCTCCCCTTCTTCCCACTTATCTCCTTGCATACTCCTAGTTTCCCAGATCATGACTCTATGCTTACATGTCCCACATCCTGCACTTTCTTGCTATGCACCGTATTTGTCTCCTGATTCCCAAGTCCATCTGGTTCCTTCATCTTTTGTCTGGAAATGTGCATCCCAGTGCTGGCTGAGTTCCTGTGTGAACTGCAGAGGACACAGAGCAGAGCAACTCTGGCTGCTGCTCTTTGCACAGCAGCAAGTTACCACATGCCAGCCAGTCCCTGCTAACCTGCACTCTCAGGAACCTGAACCTTTGATCTTCAGCTTGAATCATCTCAAGCTGCAGTTTGAACATCTCTGGAATAACATGTACTGGATGCATTATATCACTTCAGGGGTTTATCCAACTTACAAAGAGCTGTGTTGCAGTTTAAGCTCAAGCTAGGCAAGTTTCACTGCCTTAGTAGGTCTCAAACATGGGAGAGTCTGAAGCATACAGGTAATTTGTGCTGTTTGATGTGTTTTTCCAGGTATGATCCAAAGACCAATCAGTGGAGCAGTGATGTGGCCCCCACCAGCACCTGCAGGACCAGTGTTGGAGTAGCAGTTCTGGGAGGCTACCTCTATGCTGTGGGTGGTCAGGACGGTGTCTCTTGTCTCAACATTGTGGAAAGGTACTTTTTAATTACCAAAAAAAAGAGGGTACAGGGAAAAGAGGGTCTTTTTAGAAGGTGCAGTTGATGTAGATGAGCTGGAGAGGAGGTAAGAACTATACAGATTTCCAGAGATTTTTGTATTTGGAGGGAATAAAGTTAGTCTGCCTGCCCTTTTGTGAAGAAGTCAACACTTCACTAAGCTCTGGTGTTTATTCTTTTGCCAGGTATGATCCCAAAGAAAACAAATGGACTCGAGTGGCTTCCATGAGCACTAGGCGCCTGGGAGTTGCAGTGGCTGTGCTAGGAGGCTTCCTGTATGCTGTGGGAGGCTCTGATGGAACTTCTCCTCTCAACACTGGTATGCCTTCTGCTATGCCTTAATTCCAGTCAGCACGTGTCCTTGTTGTCCTTAGTGTCCCCAGGTATCTGTTGAATATCTTAGTGGTCAGTTTGAGGTGGGTTTTTTTCTTTAAATATTGCTTTGCCCTACAGTAATTCACTCTCCAGGCTTGTGAGCCCCTGTGGCCTGGTTGTGTGTCAATTTTTCTTTCTCAGTGCAGCATTTGGCAGTGTGTGTTGTGAATGCAATGCTTTGATCATTTGCATAGCAGTTGCAAGCACATCTCTTTTATTTTTTTTTCCTCCCTGCAGCAGCCCTTTTTCTGCTGTAGGAAGGAAGGTGCCCAAGGTAAAACTACTGCAAGATGGCAATGCAGGTCAGTTTGTAGCATTGCCAGCTCCCTCTTGAGTGAAGATCTGAATGCAGTTGATTGTGTAGGGCTGGAGACAGGAGAAATAACAGCAAATGTTCCTCCATGGAAGAAAAGAGATAACAAACTGGTTCATCATATTTTTGATGTGTTGGAAATTGTAGTGTCTTGACAGCAGGACTTTGGATGTGGGTTTAAAAGTGCTAACCCCCATTGCCTGCCAACCCTCTTGCCCAAAGATGTGTCGTTTCCTCCGCAGTGGAACGCTACAACCCCCAGGAGAATCGCTGGCACACGATCGCTCCCATGGGGACAAGGAGGAAACACTTGGGCTGTGCAGTGTACCAGGACATGATCTATGCTGTGGGAGGCAGAGATGATACAACAGAGCTCAGTAGTGCTGAGAGATACAACCCTCGAACCAACCAGTGGTCTCCAGTTGTGGCCATGACGTCGCGCCGGAGTGGAGTGAGTTTGGCTTGGTTTGCTCACACGTAATCACATGGTGAGAGGACAGGGTAGAGTGTTAGTCATCTTGTGAGGCTTTTCTGCTGTGTCTTCACCTCTTTTCTGTAAGGGGAAAAGTTTGCAAAAAGCTCTCTAGCAAGACTAGAGAATGAAGTGGCAGTCATGTCTTGTCATGGACAGCTGTTTAACACATTTGAGAATGGGAAAATGGAGACATTTGAAGGTCTTTTTAAACATTTTCAGTCACTTATATAGGGTCGAGTACTTAGGCCTGAAACAGGAGTTTTTAGGTTTTCACTTGGTGACATAGCCATACTTGGTATGAGATACTATTAAAAAACACTATCAAAATTAGTACTTGAGTCTCTCTGGATGAACTAGGAGGTGAAAATACCCACTTGCCCAGAGGAAGAAGCTGGGTAAGCATGTGTTTAGACACCAACTCCAGCCTTCCAAGTCTCTTCATTGCCTTGAGATATGTGTGGGAACAGGGTTTCTGGGCTTTCACTTAGCATGGTGCTTCTCTCCACCAAATCCTGTGAGTATGGGGAGTGACAGCATGTTCTTACCAGCTGCTAATCATGGTGCTTTCCTCCACTTGCCCAGAGGAAGAAGCTGGGTAAGCATGTGTTTAGACACCAACTCCAGCCTTCCAAGTCTCTTCATTGCCTTGAGATATGTGTGGGAACAGGGTTTCTGGGCTTTCACTTAGCATGGTGCTTCTCTCCACCAAATCCTGTGAGTATGGGGAGTGACAGCATGTTCTTACCAGCTGCTAATCATGGTGCTTTCCTTAGACTGCATATGGGGAGTGACAGCATGTTCTTACCAACTGCTAATCACGGTGCTTTCCGTAGACTTGTGGGCAAGAGATTAACACAGTGTTTTAAGCAGTCATCATGTTTGGGCAGAAGCAAATGTGATGAATATTTATCATTGGATATTGGATTATGTAGTAAAAAGTAGATTCATTCTATCTGTATGTTAGTATTTCAGTGTCTGGTGAGGCAAGTATGAATCATAATTTGAGCAACTACTGTTTTTGGAGGCAGAGGACATGTATTTAATTCTGCCCTCAAAGCATATAGTACACTATCCAACACTGTTGTAGTTACTGATCAGGCATTGACTTTTTATCAGCTGCTTCTATATTTGCTTTCTGTAGAAACTGCTAAACAGAAGCGTCTGTACCTGCAGCCCTCCTGAGTCTTCTCACTTCTCAAAACAAGGACCATTTTACATTGTGTTCCTGCTCATTCTCTGTCACACTACATGTTTTCCACTGGAAGTGATCATCTATTGACATTTCAGTGATTTTGTGCTTCTGCAGAAAGGCAAAACAGAAAGGCTGGAGGCCAAGGTGCTTACAGATGGGCCAAGCCCCAACCTGAGATGTTTGGGACCTGTGGTTCTGCTGGTTTAAGCAAGTGTTCCAGGCTGTGGGCTGGTAGATAATCTGATGCATACATGTCACACTTGGGGAAGAATTTCAGTCCAGAACATAAGTTTTGGCTGGCAAAGAAAGGCTTAGATTCTCATCCATCCATTATTATTCAAATGCTGGCAAAGAAAGGCTTAGATTCTCATGTATCTATTATTATTCAAACGGTTGTAGTTCTTGTAGCTGGCAATAAGGGGTACCTTCTGCTTTTTCTTTGAGAGATTCTCTATTTTGAGATAAATACTCAACTTTCCATGTCTCATTTTTTAGGGTATTTTATTTGTGCCGCCCCCAAATGAAAAACCCCCGACCTTTTACTGCAGACTGCTCATTTTTTAGGGTATTTTATTTGTGCCACCCCCAAATGAAAAAACCCCGACCTTTTACTGCAGACTGTCTTTCCCCAAACATGGTTATTAAATCCTTCTATTGATATTTTCATTTTAACCCTCCTTTTGAAGATGTGCCAGCTAAGTAGCTGCCCTGTGATGGCTGTTTTGCAGGTTGGCCTTGCTGTGGTGAATGGACAGCTGATGGCAGTGGGAGGTTTCGATGGCACAACGTACTTGAAGACCATTGAGGTGTTTGATCCAGATGCTAACACATGGAGGTAACTGTTGAGTTTGTGAAACAATCCAGTAGTGAAATCCAGCTGGACCTGCTGCCTCCCAGCTGGAGCTGTCCCAAGAGTCAGACACCACAGTGAGAGAGCCAGCACGAGGCTCACGTTGTGGCTCTTGGCTTGAATGAAGGTGTAAGAAAGAGTCACATTCAGAAATATCCCAATGTGCCATTTACCTACAGAGTCTCCATGTCTTTGTAGCAGCTGAGAAACATTTCGTTGCAGGTTTCTGCTTGAGTTCCAACCATTGACTCAATCTGAAGTAGAATTGCAGTGAGTTTTCTATAGTTTTCCCACCTGAGGCCCCAATATATTTAGCCAACACCTATTGAATAAAATCTCGTTGCATCTTTTGCAGATAGGAAACTGGTGTATAAACAGGTTATTGAGACACGGAGTAGTAGCAAGCAAGGGGTCAGACCAAAACCAAGTTTGTTTTTAAGTGCTGCTTTTGAACATAACAAAAATGGACCACACTGGGAGAGGGATGTCCCTGCTGTTTGTTTTGGGCTGAGTCTCTTCTGCTTCCCAATAAAACTTGCCCTTAGCAGAAGGAGCTTACAGTCACCACGTGAAATTCAGGCTACTAATTTATTGCTTTCAAGCTGAGGCTGTGATTTCTAGCTCCTTTTGGAGGAGCTGAAGCAGAACAAGCATATGATGTTCTTCCCCTTTAAATCTGCAAGGCAGTAATTAGAATTCCATCTGATGTACAAGCTGAGAAAAATAATGTGGAATTGCTGATCCAAAATATGTATGGAGCGGAAGAGAAATAGGAAAAATAGACTTTCTAGTCATAACTACACTTGAAAGCAATTACTTGTGTATTTATTCCCAAATCTAATTAGCATACAGTTTCTAGCTCCTATGGGTGTTCTTGCTGCTGTAGTAATCTGGCAGGGGTGGGGAATAGGAAGAAATGGATGTCCTTATTCCTACTAGTAATAGTAGTAGATTAACCCTTTCCTCCTGAGAGAGGCTGTCACAAGCAGCAGGGGAGGGATTTCCCCTTGTTTGTTGAGCCATGGACAGTGTCTTTTTGAACTGATGAGAAAAAGAGTTGAGTAGAGAGTAGTATATACTTCAGATTCCTTAGCTGAATGGTTTCAGCTACTCCCAGTGACAGTGAGAGTCACGGGGTGTCTAGACTTAGGAGTTACTGCCTGAGCAGGCACTCACAGAGCTTTGGGAGGTTGCTCAAAGTATCAGCTTGTGGGTTTTTTATCTACTGAATTCAATATAACTGATCAACATCTGTGGCCTTCTCTTTCTTTTATTTGCTGAACTTCTTTTCCTAGGAAGATATTTTTGTCTAGCTTGACTGAGAAATGCCTCTGACGTGATTTGGCTTTAACAAACTGCCTTAGTAGGAGTTGTTTGGAGAACTTGCTTCTCCTGTTTCTGCCAGCAGACTCCAGTGGCACAAAGGGGGTATGCAGCTGAAGTGAGTAGGATGCTGGAGTCTGTAGGGATCAGACAGCCATATGAAATGCTGCAGGCACCATTTCAGTAAACAGATGGTGCTTGGGATGTGTTATATCTTGGTCGGATCAGCTGAATTTAGGGTATTAGAAATATAAAAGAAATGAGTTGAATTGTGAGGAGCAAACCTAGTCTTGCTCCTGCCTTACTCAAAATGTAGCCCAAGGTCAGGTAGGGCCTACAGAGTTCCTGGAGGTGTTTAAGGGGCATGTAGGTCTGGGTGATATGGTTTAGGAGTTACAGTGGTAGTAGTAGGTGGACAGTTGGAACTGATGATCTTAAAGGTCTCTTCCAACCTTGATGATTCTATGATTCTTTTTTATCTTGCACATTCATACAGGGAGAAAGCTCCTTGCTCGAGTAACAGAAATCTGGTGTCAAAAGGAGAAGCAGTTTCTGTTTTGAGAGAGAAAGGCATCTGTTCACCTTGGAATTGTATGAGGTGACTACTACCCAACTCCTTCACAGTCCACTTTTAAACAGGCATTAACCACAGTCTAATTGTGCTCACAAGGGCTGGTTCAGCCTTTCCCATGGTAGCTCCAAATTGTGCTGGCTCCCATGGGGGCTGCATGAAGGATCTGGACTGGTGTGAGCCCTGAAACCTTGTCTTTGCAGGTTGTACGGAGGGATGAACTATCGGCGGCTGGGAGGAGGCGTAGGTGTTATCAAAATGACACACTGTGAATCCCATATATGGTAAGCATCGAGCGGGAGGGAGTCCCCCTGGTCCTCATCCCTAGAAAAACTGAAGAGACTTGTTGACACTGGACCTCTTTGCAGCTCTAGTTTGCACGGTCTAGCTCCAATGTAACTCTTTGCCGGTGACTCTTTCTATGGAATTATAAAAATGACTTCTGTGAGAGTGTGCCCAACGGGAGACCACGTTGTCAGACTCCAGGGAACCACTGGACAAAAGTAGAAGTGTTGCTTATGTCCGTATTTTTTCTAAATAGTCTACATTTTTTGAAAAAAAACAAACAAAAAACCAAACTGTAACAGTTATTGTAGCGTAAAGATGCTGACGTAGAGACTACACTGATGTAGAGACTACATGCTGTACTGGGAGTCTGGCAAGGAGGAGGGTTTCCTGCTTCCCCTCCTGCTGTGTGAGCAGTGGCTGTGGCAGCTGTTTAGTGGGTGAAAGAGAAAAAAGTGATACAGAAAACATTGCTTTTGCCTTATTTACAGAGAGCTTCAAAAAAAAAAAGTACTTGACCTGCAAGGTGCCACCTTTGCACAGAAGCTTTTCTGTGCACAGAGTATATTTATTTTTTCATTTAATTTGTATCATGTATTTTCTTTGTATCACTCACAGAGACAATTCCAGCTTTTTATATACATATATATGTGTGCATATATATATATGTATGTATATGTGTGTGTGCAACTTGCATTTTGACCAGCTGGTGGTTAGGGCAGGGCCATGTCCCATCAGCTGTTGTGGTTCCAACCCTTGTGGTATAATTTAGGGTCTCTTAGAGTGCAGGAGAGCAGTGAGGATGGGTGCCCTGTGACTATCTTTTCAGTCTTGCTGGAGGCAAGAAGTAGAACTGGAAACTCTCATCTATTGACTGAATCAATGAAGTGCCCAAAAAGGGTGAGAGAGAAAAGGATTTCAAACGATGCCTTTTTACTGTACAGTGTATGGTACAAAAGTTCAGCTTTTGTCTCTCCTCTCCCCTGTATGTGAACCTAGAAACAACTAGTTGTTGCTCACTTATAAATGCCTTTTTCCTCCTGCTGCCTGCTAGATACCAGTTCTTGTCTGAAGCTGGGGTGCAGGTATCATCTGTTAATCCTGACATTCACTTCTCATGTTCTTGCTAGGAGGGCAACTCCTGCTGCAAAAAGCTTAGACCAGCATCACCTCAGCCGCCCTCTTGTCTGTGTCCTTAGAATTCCTGACTGTGACGAGATGGTGCCCTTTGCCTGTGTATGTTTAGAGCAGGGAAAGGTATGAGCCTCATTAAAGAGTTTGGAGGGGAGGGACTGTGCTGGCACTGTGAGTAACTGTGGAGGCAGCCAGGGGTGAGGGGAGAGGAAGGAAGAACTCTAGACTCAACGGTTCTGTTTGTACTGTAATTTCTATCGAGTATGGAAGAATGACCTTTTGCACCTGATTTAACTATAGACCTTACTAAATCTGATTTTAAAAGACTAAGAGGATGGTAAACTCTTGAGATGAAAAAGGCAGTGCTGACATCTTAAGTTGTTTAACTTCATAGTTTGATTCATGTAACTCAAACTTTAATGTGCTTGAATATAGCAAAAATTACACTACAGTCATAAATGGGTCATTAAAACTTTTTTACAAGCCCCTTTCCCCCTAAAGGTTGGTATTCTTGTGTTTACATATGAAGATCATTTGCACCTTTACAAGGAAAACAAGTATTCTGTAAACAAATGTTTACATGTATCATTTATGCTTTTTTCTAGCATGAGTAACTTGTATAAATAGTGCTATCTTAATAAATTTCTTCTATGCTGTTCTTGGTTTGTTCCTTGGGCTGAAAGCAGCGGGGTGTGTGCTTTGTATGGTTTAGGTGGACATACACTGGTGGGTTTTTTCCAGATACCAGTCCAAGTAAAACTGGCTTAAAACTGCTGTTGAGTGTTACCTTTCACTTGGAAGCACATCACTCAGAACCAGCTTCTTCTGGAAGGAAGCATCTGTGCTATCTGGCTGAATTTCTCTGCTCACTTAACTGCAGTTAGCAATGAAGATGAGACAAATGAATAGGTTAAGCTCCCGGTCTAACAGTCCTGTTTTCAAATCAAATACAGGTTTCAGTCTTTGGACTCTGTCCAGTGCTCTTCTGACTCCAGGTAGCAAACCCTGAGATATGTCATAAAAGGAAACTAAAGCACCAGCAGTGATAGTTTAAGTAGCTGCTGAGCTGTCAAGACCTTCAGAATCTTGCTTAGCTATTTCTACCAGGGTAAGAGTTACCACAGACTGCAACCTTTACACACAAAAATAATCCCTCTTCAACTAGAAAAGAATCTAAAAACAAGTTGATGTTTCTTTGTCTCTTTACACACAAAAATAATCCCTCTTCAGCTACAAAAGAATCTAAAAAAAAGTTGATGTTTCTTTGTCCAATTCCGGAAGTAGGTTAGGAACAAGGCATGCAGTTATGTCATGTTAGGCAGTTGTTCTATGTTGGGAAGAGAAAGGAAACTTGCATCCCTGTTTAGGGGGAAGGCCACAGCACAAATCACCAGCACCTTATTGATGCTGTACAAGTATGAAGCAGGAAGTTAGACTTTAAATTCTGCTGCTCACAGAATTATCTAGTAGGTAACAAGTGGTGGTTTAGTCAGGTAAGCTATAGTTGGAAATAAGCACCATGCAAGGATATATTTAATTAGGCATAGGTGCTTAAGATCATTCTATTGGCAAAAGACAAAATACTAAATGAAATATTTTCCAATATAAAAATCATAAGACTTAGCAGATACTACTTCCTTTCTGCTCCTTTAAGCTCTAGCTCTAGCCATGCACTGTGCTCTAGCCCTCTGAACTCCCACCTGCTCTGGAAGGGAGGGATCTAATAAAACATTTTAACCCCAAGAGTTCTCTAGTCTACAGAACTACATCCAAGATTACAAACATCAAACAAAGTCTAGGAATTACATAGTTTATCCACAGACCTCACATTGCTACCTATTAACTTGTCTGAGAGGACCAACAGGCTGGACACAAGGCAGGTGTCAGTCTCATGCTGTTCACCTTTTCTCAACTGGATTGTTGTGGACACTATCACTATTACCAAGTGGCCCTGGCATACGAGGAAGGGAGTTGGAAACTTGGATTTTTCTGCCCTGGGCTGTAGAGCATGCACACTTTCTCAGGTGTGCTGAACTTTGCATTTAGACTAGCCCAGGACTAGTCACACTTTAGCTGAGGTTAAGGTCTGTGTAGCTTAGGCTGTAAATACGTCAGTAATTTGCATCAAGAATTGACCAAGTTTATTGTCTTAGCCCCAGCTGCTACCTACACATAAATGAACAGAGTGACTGAGAAAATAAAGGTGGGCAGGAAGATATGCCAAGTTTGCACTGCAGCCCTTCTTTAGGGCTTGTCTTTTCTGTGCATGACGTGGAGTTACAGCTAGTTATGGAGCCAAGCGTAGGAGTTACCGTTCAACTCTGAGCAACCAGCATGAGAAGAAAGAAGATGCTGCAAGAGTGAGATTCCTCTTGGTTTCTAAGCATACATCAACCACCAGGCTGCTACTTTTTTCCACGAAATGTTGCTGAAATGGCACTCACTTTATCTGAGAGATGGCGAGTTCTGTCAGTAGCATCAGCACTCCACTTATGTATTGGCTTTGTAGAATCTGCAAGAAAGAAGAGAAATGTCCAAACAGAGATTGCAGTTGCCAGATTCCCACACCCTGAAATGGTTGGAAGCCAGCTACCGAGTGTTCCATGTGCTCTGTTGTTGCTTGCAAGGCACCATTTTTACTGTTTTGACCCTGGATAGGAGAAAATACACATCCATTTGTCTGTGTGCTGCTCCTTTGGAGCCCTCTGGCTTCTGCTCCTGTGCCTTGGGAAGCAGGGAGCCTAAGAACTGCCCTGCTCCTACTCCAGCTTTTTGCGAGGTGAGAATCCTAGCAGTTCTGCTGCCCTTTTTCTGTAGGAAGCTCAGTCTCCCTGGATCCCCCTATTTTCCCATACTGAATATATATCTGACTCGAAGTCTATTCCCATTGGTAAAGGCCATGACTGATTTTACACAATGCACGTTCCCCAAGAGCTCCCTTCTTCAGAGAGGCTATGAGTATCTCCTGTGTGCTTACCTGCAACATAACAAGTTGTTTAAGTCACTTCTAAGCCACTACAGATAGAAACAACTAATGTCATGTTACCATCTAGTGATTTGCAGTTGTCCTATCAAAGGTACCTAATAGGCTCAAGTTTAAGCAATTGCACTTGCACAAACTGTTCTTTAACTCAGAAGAAAATACTGTATTGCTTGAAGGATTAATTCTCCAGGGTTTGAAGGATGTTACAGATACCTCTGTAGGAGGACCAGAACCTTTATGAAAAGGGTTACAAGTGAAAGAGTCTTCTGCCTGTGTCTTAACTGCAATACTAGAAAGCTAATGAACTTTTTATTAAACCTTTGTGAGTAAGTTTGGGATCTTTTAAAGTCAAAAAAAAGTTCTTGACGGCCAAAGAAACTTCCCTGTTTATACCACAGCTAAACAGACCTATTTCTGGCCCAAGGCTAGATTAGAAGCTTCTGCTGCAACATGGGAGTAAAATACTTGTAGTGGGAGCTGCCTCAGCTCCAGAACTAAATATGACTAGTAATTTTGCTAAGGCTTTAACAGCCTCTTGTAGGAAATCATGTGAAAGAAACATGAAACCTTCATTTTTTTTTAAAAGCAGGGGCATGGCCAGACAGGCACAGCTGTTTTATTTGGCCAGCACAAGGACAACCTGCTCCTGAAAGCCTCACCTTTAGAATCCCATCACAGTGCAGAGAGGCAATGCTTGTAGAAACTTTCACCAGTGTTGCAGCTGACAAGTGGATCTTAAAGTGCCTGTGGAAGTGAGAGTAAAGGCAGTCCATGAAGACATCCACCTCTTCCTGGGTGATCTCTCCTGGAGTTGTTTGGACCGTGTCCCACAGAGCTTTAGCATCCTCTGGATGAATGGCATAGGAGATATCCAGCGAGTGGGGCAGGCGGGGCACAGAGAAGACGAGTTCCAGAGCAGAGGCAGCTTTGTCCACGGAGCATCCAGTCCACATGGCTGCCATCCAGCTGAGGTTCAGAGGGCTGACGGACAAACGGCGGAAGCAGCAGTCGAAGGTCTTCTGGAACCAGTTTCCAACGATGGCTGTGTATGTCTCTGCCCCGTTGGTGAGGAACAGAGGTAGACAGGCAAAGTCCTCTGGCATGTTCTCGGAAAGCTCATCTCCACACACACTGCAGAACCAGCCCGACCACACCAGTTTGTCTTCTGAGCTGCGGGGGGAGCCTTGTGACCTCTGAGAAAGCTGGGATGGGAAAAAGAAGGGTCTGAGTGCTACAGAGCAAACGTGCAGGCAAAAACAGGTTTCGTTTTACAGTTCCAAGTGTTTGCCAGATGTTTTTTGTCCCCTCAGGATCTCATGTGCAACACTGTTTTCTGTAAAATGCATACAGTTATTCAGTCTGTCCATTACATCCCTGGAAGTTGTGTGCAGTTCTGTTTGAAAACAGTGGAAAAAGCACTTTTTACTTCCTTAAGAACAGTGCTGAGATCTGAGTTTATGTTGCTTAGCTCCAAAGAGCCAATCCATGGTATATCCTACAGCCATTGCCATAATGAACTTGACATTTCAGTAATATATTTCACTTGAAGCAAAGCATTCAGGAATATTAATCAAACTGGATCTCTGCCCAGGAGGTGGGATTATACCAGCTTTATCCAGGAAGCTAAACAACATGTCTGAGTTCTGGCAGTAAACTAACTGCTGAACTGAAACATTGGACAAAGATTGCTCTGTATAGTCTCACTCTGATCTTATCAAAGAGTTCTGCTCAAAATTGCAATTAAATATATCCATTGCTATGGGGATGTTCTGTTCCAGTTGAAAATACAGGCCTCGCTTTGATTAAATCCCAGTGGATGCTACAGTTGTTAGTCTGTACAGGTAGGGTTTGGTTTGGGGTTTTTCTAAGAGTGTTTTA